ATAAAATGTTGTTCTCTGCCGTCTTTACGCTGTTTTAATGTCAGCGTGCTAAACTGTAAGTTCTCTGTATGAACACGTTTTGTTTGTGTCAACAGAGACGACATAAATATTAACGCAGAAAAAGGCTCTCTCTATGATTTGCGTTGAATAGTGACCCGAACACACACACACACACTCTGACAGTCGGCTCTTTTCACCGCTGCCTACGTCTGTTTGGATTTCACTCAGGAACACAAACACTCCGACGTCGGTGGGTGTAATTTGTCTGGCAGGAAGCCCAACCGCTCGGCTCTCCTGAGATCGACAGAAAAACAACCCGAAGACGAGAAAGAGACGCTTTTCATGTGAGCGGAGCAGCGAGGAGGCAGACTGGCGACCTGCAGCATGTGTACATGTGTTTCTATGTGCTGTTGGTTTCACACCATCACTAGAGAATAACAACCTCATTAAATGTGATGCACGCTTACAGATTAACCTGTTTTTTTTTTGCTCCTGTCACATTTTTACTACGATATAAAGTCCTGCAGCTCGATGGAGACAGCACAGCTACGAGGATGTCTCACCATGCTGAGTGTGTCCTCCATGCTCTGTTCACCACTTCAGAGCCATGCTGCATTTATTCTACAGATCCAGATGGTTTTATTTTCCTCGTCGTTTCCTCTCTGCTCTGAGAAAAACCTCAAAATGGTCTAAATATTCATCATGTGAGTGTTTGTTTTTTTTACAGAATCTGCTGTAAACACTTTATTTTTTGTTCTTTTTTGCAGGAAACATGCAGAATAAAGTGATTTTGGTGATTTTTTTAGCTTAGATTTAGTTCATCTTCCAAACATGTGACGAGGAAAAGAACTTGCTTTTCAAACCTGTAGGAGGGTTTCAGGTTTCCTTCCCCTCAGGTGCTGGCTCCGTACAGTCGCGCTTACATAATAATGTAATTAAAATTGTGATTAAACAAATATATAACAGCACTGTCAGGGGCTCTGCGTAATGAGAACTTCTGCTTTTGGGAAATTAAATACATTTGGTGCCAATGCTGCAGCATTAACTCAGGAGTTCAACCTTTAATTTGTCACTTTTATGGCGTGTTGTTGCTGCTTCTACTTAAAGAAATCATCTAAACACGACAGGAACCAGAGCAGGACAAGAGCTCACACAAAACATTAGAAGTATAATAATAATAATAATAACAGAGGAGAACTTTCTGAATTTAAAAGTGGCACCACCAGGGATGGAAGCTGCTCTGGACTCAAGAAATGTTTGTCTTCAGAAAATAACCAGAAGAATCTATTTGAGCTCCTTCAGTGTTGTTTCAGGCTGAAGTAAGAGAGGAAAAGCAAACACAGAGATAAGTGATGTTTCCTGACATCACCTCGGCTGCCGTAAATAAACCAGAGGACGCTGGTGAGCAGCAGCTGGAGGCTCCTGATGCCAGATGCTCTCCATCAGGTTAATTGGTTGATTGGCTGAGAACAGGTGGCTCGTTCACAAACTGCTTCTAAAGGCTGCCAGGTCTCAGGCTGCTCTGTCTCTGTGTGGCTGAACTTAGACTGTATGAGGTTATTAGTTGCTGCATAGAAGTCTGGGTGAGTGTCAGTTAAACATCTGGTCAAGTGTGACGTTCAGGACGCTGCACTGATCGGTAGGAAATAAGAAAATACTGTAGAATTAAGCTTTCAATCTTCTGCATCTCAGATCCACCATATCTCTGTTTTTGAGGGTACGAAGGTGTTTTACAAAAGTATTAGACTTCCACCCAGGTCACGTTTATGTCACAGCTGCCCTAAATTAACAGCATTGCTAATCACCAAAAGCATTTCTTATGTTTCTGTGATGGTTAATACACCAGTATGTAGAAGCTCTTTAACCCAAATGATATTTTTAATGCTAAAATATGATTATTATTGTTGTCGATGACTTCTCATGTCAGATTCTAGTTATTTACTCGCATTCCTGAGCAGAAACATTAGTTTTAGTGGTTGGATGAGAAGCCCAGTGGCTCAGATTTGGATATAAAAAGGTGAATTCAGTTTGAAATTCCTCATTCCTGTTCAGAATGGTAAAACATGGAGGCACTAAAGCCCTTCACGATGCTCGATGGTCTATAAATATATTTATATATTTATATACATACAGTGTGTGGTATCTGGTGTTCCACGTCATGGGTTTGAAGTGGTCACCAGGTCAAAGGTTGCACCTGGTTTGGAATTCTGGGTCTTGAAGGTTTAAGATTGGAGGGACCAGGTTAAAGGTTGCTGTTTAGAGAATGGCTGAAAGGCTGTTCTTAGTTCTACCTAAACAACTCCCCTATAAAAGCCAGTGGTTAAGGTCGGTCTGGAGGGTGATTCTTTGTGGCTTCGAATCCTCTCACAGGCAAACCATGGTGTCTGAGATACTCGTTACAATAAACCTCTTTATAGAACAACAAGATGGTATCAGCGGAGAACCTCTTCATCATCTTCACCTCATCGCTACTTTAGGAACAACAAGAGCTTAGTAGAGTCTAATAGGTTTGTGAAACACTGTGCTTGTGGTCGAGATGTTGGTTGATGTGCTGCCGTCAGACATACTGAAGGAAAAACCCCCAAACTGGAAACACTGGAAGCTGCTTGTCCAGTGGAGATCGTCCTGCAGTCTCACCTGTGACTCCCTCAGAGGTCGAGGCAGACTCTCAGCTCTTCTATCGTCAGGCCTCGGTCTCCGTCTCGATCGCAGTACTGAGCAAACTTCTTGGCACATCTTCTCGGCTTCAGCCTCCGTCGCAGGAACTGACGCAGCGGTCGAGCTTCGCGTTCGCTCAGGACGCCGCTGGAGTCGACATCCAGCTGGCCGAAGTGCCATCGCAGCACCGCCTCCGGCCCGGAGGAGTCTTCAGCCTCCGGAGCAGCAGAGGCGCCCAGAGGAGAGGAGGAGGGTGATGGAGGAGGATCAGAGGATGGAGAGGTGGAAGGAGGCGAGTCCGAGGCTCTGGAGGAAAGAAACAGCACAAAAACAAAGTCAGGAGGGATTTAAGTGACTCCAGTTTAACTCTCTGAATCCAAAAACCTGCTGGTGGGATTAGAAGTCATGTTATCTTTGAAAAAATCACAAAAAATACACTTTAAAGACATAAGAATTACTGGATTTTCAACTTTTTAATTGTCCTTGAATAAATTGTGCTTAAAAAAATGCAGCTCCATCAAAAATAATTAACAAAATCAGAGTTTAAAATCATGAGATTTCATCAAAAGCATTCTATTCTGCAAGTTTCATTTCTCAAAAATCTCAAAAGTTACAGCGATTATTGTCAGATTATCATCTTTCTGATAATGTGTGAGTTCAGGTGAGAAAAAAAAACTAAATCTAATCACTACATTTAAATAAAATTACTTTGTTCTTTGTGTTTCTTGTTTGAAAATCATTATAAAATGTACAGTTTGCACCAGATATGGTAAAAAATGCTGCACTTCTCGGCACACATCTGAAAATTTTGAGTTTTGGGTTGAACTGCAGGCAGTGTTGGTGATGAGCCGAAAGAAAACAAGCAAAACAGAGGACAACAAACCTACTGGATCAATAAAATAAATGCAGCACGGCTCAAAAATGGTGAACAGAGGAGCCAGTTGTTGGAAGATACAGTCAGCATGGTGAAACATCTGTAGAGTGAAAAACTTTTTCATGCTTTTATGGTGTTCTAACTGTGTCAGACCGCACAGAAGACGTTTCAAGTTCTTTCTACCTCTACTGGTGGTTGTTCTGTTTCCACAGAGGTGCAGGACTGAAAAATGAGTCCACAGTGATGAAAAATGAGACGAGAGCAAAAAACAAAACAACCACAAACCTGCTTCAGAGGGTTAAAGGATAGAGGTTCCTCTGTCACATAAACACAATTCTACACGCTGCAAAACGACAAAAATCACTAAAACTATAACAAAATGTAATAGTTTGTTGTTAGTGTTGGGGTCTAACGGATAAAAGCCTTAAAATACAGATCTGAAGTCAGCAGCAGCAGCAGGTGAGAGTATTGTTTCTGCCTCTTCAGACACCAGTAATCGGATTTGACAAATTGTTGCTGCGTGTTCACACCTCCATCAAATAAAAGCCGGCGGTTCTATTAACGGCGTTCCTGCAGAACTCAATAAAAACATCCCGTCTTACAAGGAAAACTAAATCACCGCCCGGCTCCCCTTATCAGCACAAACCACGGCTTCAGTTCTCTCCGAGGCCAACCCACAAACAAACCCGGAATTTATTAAACGGCGAAAACTTATCGGGACGAAATATGATGGATATGAAGCTCTGAGCGTGTGCTGGTGGAGGATGATAAAGACCAGAGGAGAAGTGAGATGTTGGTAAGTGAGGAAGGAGGCGAGCAACTGAAAGAGCTGCTCTGGTCTCCGTTAATCAGCTTCCTGGTCGAGTCCGTCGCCTTCACCCAACCGTGAAACTGGTTTTATTTGTCGTCTCAGCAATGACAGACGACGAGTTACACGTTCAAGTCTGAATCGTTCAAAGGAGATGAAAAGGTTTGTTGTTGTGTCACGTTGAGAGAAGTGAAGCAGCGAGTGGAGACGGTGATGTGGGATAAAGTTAACAAGAGGATTGTCACAATACACTCACCACAAAGAGTCTGAGGGAGGAACTACGTCAGCTCCTGGTAGACCAAGGTTTAGGGTTTATACCTCATGGGTGCAAGTCCCTGCTCTTCATTCCAATAAATGCTACCGTCATTACATATTAAAGGCAAATGCCAAAATAGAAGCTTGAACAGAAGCTATGTGAGTATTTCCTAAAGTGTTTGTTAAACTATGGTCACACTTGTATCTTCAAACTGCATATCAGTATCCTTCCACTCAGAATCCTGCAGTCAGACTAACTGTCACATGGTGTTAAGGCCACTAAAGGTCCAACTTCAACTTCTTCACGAACCCCTTCGTGGCAGGGGGAGCACTAACGACTCGGATAACGAGGGGGAGGAGCAACAAACCTCCAACTGAAACCGAAACTCAGGTGTTAATGGCTCCTTTAGGATATCAGTATGTGGAACTCCCAACTAGTCAGTCAGAGCTGATGAAGCCTCTTGGATGAAACGTCTTCAAGGAACTCAAGCAGTTGCTACGATTCATCTACCAGAAAAAACATGACCTGGAGGACTGAGGATCTTCACAGACACGTCCAACTTCAACTTAACTTGTATTTTAAAAGATGTGATGGAGAAATTCAGGGTCTGTGCCTATAAAAAGTAAAGCGATCTCCTTGTGCAGCGATCCTCTACTTCCAGTGCTGCTGCCTCATTTGAATAACGCCCTCTGGAAGTTAAATTCAGTCTATAACATGTGCTGGATCTCCTAAACTCTGCCAGATTACGATTCTTCAATTTGATGTTCATTTTGGGGAAGAAGAAGAAATCACAGGAAGTCAGACTGAGGACGTCTCTCATGAGGACACCTGCCACAGTTCAGGTCATTCGTACTGAGTGTTCTCCACCAGATGCCTCCAGACGTCATAACTTGACGCTGACAGTCCGACCCTGGGGGGTGAACTCTCAATGTCACATAAATGTCGAACCAAACAACGGGCATCCTCTTGGTGGCGCTCTGAGCAGAACTGGATGTTTGCTCTCAGGTTGAGCTCCAGAGTGAAATCACAACCTTCAAGTGAACAAAACGGGACTTCTAGGAAGTGTTTAAAATGTTGCAGGAGCACTGGGAGCACTGGGGGCACTGGGAGCAGTGTGGTACTGCATAGGAAGATGGCAGCTTGAAGTTTTTATAGGTGCAGACTTTTTGATTGCACCTCACACCTTTTTGAGGACATCTTTTCATAGACGTTTGTATTTTTTTGCAATGTCCTTATAGACTCTGTGTTTTTACTTAGAGAGTGCCTTTAAAGTTCTGTTGCATTGCTGTCTTACACTGCAGTATAATGACAATAAAGCTTCTAGTTCTAACTCTAGTGTCCCCAAAGGGAGATCTGTGCAGCAGTCAAGTACACAAACACAAATAAAGATTCAAACACACAGACTAAACGTGCAAAAAATGTTCCAAATGCCGTGTCCATGACAACTGATAGACTTGATGGACTCACTGGTGTGGACTCAGACTCCCAGCATGCTCTGCTTCCAGCTGCAGCGCTCTGACCAGACTCTTCAGGAACTGCTTCTTACGAGCTCCAGGACACCCTGTGGAAGGAGAACAAACGCCGTGAACCAACATCTACAGAGTCCGCATGACGACGACGGTCCGCCGTGACAAAGCGCCTCAAAGTGAGATTCTCAGATGTGAAGAACATTTTCAGTTTCACTCCTCTTTCTGCTGTGACGTTTACCAGGTAGAGGCTTCTCCTTGTGCCTCCTGTCTGTCGGCGCCTCTCCTGCCCCGGTGCAGTCTGGGATACGATTCCTGCGGAGACACAATAAATAACCAACGTTACACCTGAAGTTTATCTCAGAACCTGGTTTAACTTCTTCTGTTTGACCGTCTCTGATTTGCTTAAAACTTTTTTTTTTCTGGATATTTAAAATGTTGTCAAATGTCTTCATTAATATTCATATTTTATCCTTTAAGCTTTCAAAGTCAGACTTCTGGCTGGACAGAAGCAGATCAAAACACTTGATGATTTCAGACAGAGTTGACTTTGAAGATCAAATATAGCAACTTTTTAAAAAAAAAACAGATTTTAAAAGTATGTAAAGTTAGTGTTTTAAACTTGTACCACAGATTTAGCTGCAGGAAATCAATCAAGTGCAGCGCGGTTCAACAGAAATATGAATTTTTATCCGTTGAAAGCAAATTTAAGACATGAAATAATAGAATAAATAATAAGAATAATAATTTTGTCAAGTGAAGTCACTGTTCTTTACGCAGCACATTTAACATCATTTTTTCTTTCTGGTAAAGAAATAAAAATACAAACTACCAGACAGGGTTGAAAAATAAAGTTACAGACCTACAATTTTAAACATGAACCTGAGTAATTCATATTTTAGGAGCCTACAATATAATTCATTGTACAAATGACTAAATGAAATATCAGAAATGTGGAAAAGAAAAGTGATAAATGTGTTTGTTTTTGCTTATTCTGTACATATAATCAGAGAGAGAAAGTTTATTTGGTAAAACACAGCAGTAAAATAGAAAGTCTGTCTTCATACTGTATAAAAATACTCAACATAAATACACATTTAAAATAAAAAAATAAGCACATGATTCAGCTACATGATGTTATGCTGTTAACCTGTTGAGTCTTAAGATAATTTACAGAGAATAAATAAAATTAAAAATGATGTTAAAAAGCATATTTAAGCCATAATTGACAAAAAAGATTTAAAAAAAAAAAAAAGTTAATAGATAAATAAATATTAAAAGCTAACCACAAAGGAGCGATGGAGGCAGCTGTGAGGCTCTGGTGTTATTATTTTGGGTTTTGGAGGCTGAAAAATTAACATTTCTACTCAGATATTTTACACCAGAGTGTGTTGTACGACAATAATTACTAGATTAGCATAAATCAATAATTTAGGTCACTTATCAATCAAAATCATTCTCTGCCTCTGGAGGTTGTAAACCACTCATTAAAATGTTTATACAGCATTTACAGTGAAGAGGCGGCTAAAAATGAAGAGTAATTAATTATGAATGTGTCTATAGAAGGTCAAGATGCCTCTTTAATACTGAACGTGCCTTTAATTGAGCTCAGAATGCAGAGAAAAGCAAAGTTATTCTGTTCACAGGTGAGATGCAAAATGAATTCTGTTTACGTGAAGCTGCACGAGATGGAAAATGAATGTGTTGTTAAATATGTACCAGAACAGACACAGTGCAGGAGGAAGCGTCCAATAAATATCTGTTCTGGGCTGCAGGGAGTTTTTTTCTCACATCAGTGAAGCAAAACGGCGACAAGAAAACATCCTCCAGTTTTCCTCTGAGGAGTCTGTGAGCAGCAGCTGATAAAACCCCCCGAGAACAGAACAGTTTATTCTGATTTGTTCTGTCTTCCGTTTAAGCAGAACCCACCTGGGAGAGGTGACAGTAATTGGTGCAAAATTGGACGATTAGCACGAACCGCTTCTGTGCATTTATACACCAGTCAGCTCTAATAAGGAACGGGGAGGAGGAAGCAGACAGGGGAGTTAATTGATTAACGAGGCACAGATGTGATTGGTTACCGTGCAGAGGTTCCCGGTAGAGGCCTCCCGCTGTCCGCCCGGACGCACCAGCAGTAACCGGTGGCAGCGTGGCACTGAACGGAGCTGTAGCGTCCGTCCGCAGTGCATTCTGGGATAAAACGCTCGTCCTGCCAGGCCGGACGGATCTGAGAGAGCAGCGAGGAGCGCTCGCGTTCACACGTCAGAGGACTGTCTGCACAGAAACACAAACATGATCTCTGTTAGCATGCGTCTGAAATCTCACCTACAATTTAAAAAAGATTTATTTGTGAACTTCAGTGTAATACGTTATAAAGTCCTGCACCTCAGTGGAAACAACCAAAGCACTAAAACTTTTCTGACACAGTCCTAAAGTCATAAACTGTCAACAATAAAGATTATTTGTCTTACTAACATTTTAAAAACCTGGAATCAACACGTGCAACATTTTTCCAAGTGGAAAACATGCTGACCTAAAACACTATCGATATCTAACATTTCTAAACTTTGGGATGTTCTGATCAGGTTTTTTTCCCCCCAGGCTGATCAGAGGCATTTAATACTTCCCGTCTGTCAATACTCGACACCATTTCATTTTATAATAACACTTCAAGTCCTGTAGATCAGCTGTAGTACCTGGCTGTTCCACCAGGTGGAGCCTCCCAGTGTTTATTACTGCAGTGACCAGCAGAAGCAGGCAGCTCCATGTTGGTAAGCAGAGAGCATTGTGGGGGTTTAGCTGGTAGGAGGGCATCATGACAAAGTCTTTAGAGAGGTTTATTGACATCCATGTGCTCAAACCAAGTCAGGATCAATACGTAGCAGCTGCTTTAGAGCTCTGTATAACGTGTTTATGGTTTAAAACAATAAAATAAGCAAAGAACAAATGTCCAGTGGGCTCAAGTTGGATTATAAATTAGTCAGTTACTGATTGATAAGCTGAATTTATTAAGGAAATCATTGGAATTTGTGTATGACAGCAGATGCTAACAGATTTGTTCAGATCCAGTTCAAACCTACCTTATCAATTACAGTATATACGTTATTAAACTTGAAGGACTGGGTAATGTTTCCCACACAAACAGCCCATAAACTCATCAGTCTGTCCCTTCACTCCAGTTCAACAGCAGCAGCGTCGACTCACCGGTGGGCCGTCGGACGGACCGGTTTCCTTTGGGCTCAGAGTTCATCAGGATGGTGACCCAGAACGGAGGCGCCGTCAGCTCTGAGCAACGACACAACACCAACACCACAACAGGTCAGTTCTGCTGCTTTAGGACGTGACACAACCCGACAATCCTGTACAGTGACACGAACAAACTGCAGCGATTTACAGCAAAACAAAGAGACAAAAACATCCCAGAGTTCATCTTTTGTTCTATTGTCTTTACTGTTTGGTTCCTACAGACTCTAATATGGATCAGTGTTTAATTCATCAGGAAAAAGCAGCGTCACAGTGATGAAACTCTTCTTTACTGCAGATAACAACAAGGCAGATGTATTTTTACAATAAAAATCCAGACTTGTGAGGGATATAAAGTCTGAGGCAGCAGGAGTCCTGAAGCTTCTCGCTTCACCAGAGCGTGACGCTGTAACTGAGGATGGACGCTCACTGTGACACTAGGACTCAGTTTAAACGAGTTTTCTTTAGCAACTCAGGAAACTTAAACCCAGCTGAGAACCCACTGACGTGTCTTCATGCATGAAAATTTATTGGAAAACCGTCACTTAGTGCATTCACACACACAGAGCAACACTAGCAGTGACTCCGAGCCTTATTCTGGTCACCTGATGAACAACAGTCCAACACTGGGTCTGTTGTAGCTCAGTTTGAGTCTTCAGCAGCTCCAGGTGTGTTCAACAGCTCCTCTCCACCTGCGTCTGTTTGTTGCTCAGCAGGTACAGAAGCTTAAAAACCTTTTTAAAAACTGTCCAAAACCACCTTAAAAACTTGTTCAAAACCGGATTGAAATCTGTCCAAAACCTTTTTAGAACCTTTCTCATAACAGTCCAACGTGTCCATAAACTGTCCATGACGTCCACTCAACATGATTTGAACCATTTTCTCTGAAACCTGCTGCCTGCTGTAGACAAACCAACTGACATCAGTGACGGTGAACCAACAGTAGAATCAATAATCAATAATTACCTTTAATTCACCGTAAAGCTCTGTAAGAACAAAGGAACTGACTGAACTTCATACTGTTGACTTCTTTGTGTCACATAAGTTGCAGTGCAGGGTTTTGTCTCCCCCTGCTGGCTGTGACTGTAACTACACAACCACTGTTCAGGCGTTGTTATGAAGTTTTAGACGATAATAAAGTTTCTTGTTTATCTGCAGCACTGAAACTTTTAACAGACTTCTTTATCCTCCACCTGCTCTGTCTCTGTTGCTTCAGTTGCTCAACTCTGGGCAACTAATCATTGCCGCTGTGCTTAGAGTTGATCTGGTTTAGGTAGCACCGGCAGGACTGAAGGTGATAAACATGAATAAATGTGACTCGGAGAAGGTCGTGTTTGTCACCTGCAGGTTTTTTTGGTTCCAACGTCGGCGAAGGTTCACCGGCTTCATCTGGAACATAAAAAAAAGAGAAAAAATGAAGGAATCAGCCGAAGTTAAAGGATTAAAGTGTGTGAAGGAGCAGAAAAAACACTAGAGTGTGTGAAAACTTGAGAACTTACACCTCTAACGTGTGAATTAATGTTGGAAATGACATTTTACATTTATGTGTCTGTGGTGTTGAACGTTCTGAAACATCTTTCTCTGCTGATTCTGGAAGAAAGTCTCGACTAAAAGTGCTGCTTCTGAAAACGTCTGACAGCATTTTTCTGGCATCTTAGAGAAGCTTCGGCCGTTAAACGTTTGTTTTCTCTGATCTTCTTCCCTCATCTGTGTTTTTTAACTGTGACATAGAAAGAATCAGAGCAGAACAGAGAAAACTCTTTGCACAAGCGTCCGGCAGAGAAGCGATAAAAGAAGGAACATGTTCTGTATGTGGTGTTTCTGAGAACGTTCTTCGTACCTTGGATGGGAGCTGAGTCCACATCGGTGGTCTGGAGCAGCCTGGTCATGTGATCTGTTTGGAAAAACACCATTTAATCCAGACGGACGTTAAACACCAGACAAAGACTCCCAATAAATACAGTAGCAACACATAACAGAGTGAATGTTAGTCCGCTTTAGATTAGAGACAAACTGAACAAACCCAGGGATGGTTTATGCAACACACAGAACATCAATACAGGAAAATATAAAACGCACCACAGCTGGATTATATTTATATTTATATTTATATTTATATTTGGTGCACTTCCACAGACCCCCATTATGATCATGGTTCAATAAAGTGTCCATGTTTTGTATTTGTGCTCGTAAACATCACATCTAGTAGCAGCATTAGTAGACGCATTAGTAGTAGTAGTGGACAGGGCATCGGCATAGTAGCAGTAGTGGTAGTAGTAATAGTACTACTAGTAGTTGTAGTAGTAGTAATAGTTGTATTAGTTGTATAAGTAGTAGTAGTAGTAGTAGCAGTAACACTGGTCTGACCGGAGCAGTCGGGGACCTGGTGCAGCACCGTGGTCCCGCTCAGCGGCTTCCCGTCCGGCGTGGAGCACCAGCAGTAGCCCGTCTGGTTGTGGCACTGCGTGGGCAGGAAGTGGCCTTCAGAGCTGCACTCGGGGACAAAGATGGCCGCCGCCGGACCGAAGCTGCTGCTGCTGCTGAGGCCTCGAGCCTCCACGGCCTGAGCTCTGGCCAGCTGGCACTTGGTCTGCAGCGGGTCTGAGACGGAGCAGAGTTAGAGTCAGTGGTGACAACAACAGGAACAGCTGGTTTCTACGACAACAGTCATCTTATGGACCAAACGTCTTCAACCAGAGACACGTTTCAGTCTGATGAACCAGGAGCTGCTCTACGGTGGTCTGTACCTGAGCAGTGTGTCTGTGGGGCCAGACGCAGCTGTGTGTTGATGCACTGAGCCCTCTGGAAGGAACACAGCGACTTGTAGAGGCGGCCGTTGCTGCCGCACACGGCTCGGTGGCGCCCCCGGTGGCAGTCCAGCACACAGCCACGAGGCCACATGTTCTCTGTGATCAGGAAGGGCTGCACACACACAGAGAAACAACACACAAACACACACAGTTAGGCCTCGTCTACACATCAATCTGTATGTTAGACACACTGCGCCCCCTGGTGGTCAACACTGGCGATGCATTCAATTAAAGGTGGAAACTTGGCTCAGTTTTATGGCTCGTACACATGAAGCATTTCTGCCACTAACACATGATCAATAACACACAAGCTCATTCTGCACACATGTTGTTACAGGACGTATTTCGGCATGCTAGACAGCTAGCATGTGCTAAGCTAGCTAGCTTCTTTTGCAGCTATACATCGACACAATTTGACCGTTAACACAAACAACCAACCAGCTCATTCATTCTCCAACCACCTGGTGCACACAGGCCAGGTCCTCCCTAAACTACTGCAAAAGTTCTAGTTCTTCAAAGTACTGGAGGCAAATTCCAAAGTCGTACAAACACATCAGAGGTTTCTGTAGCAATTGATTCTTTAATATCACACCTGAATAAACCGACTGAAGCAGAGAAACATGAGTTAAAGAAGTCGACATATTTAAACGTGCTAAACTTCTGCAGACAGCTGAGCAGCAGCGTTTTACCCGTCAGAGGTAAATCCTGCAAACTAACGAGTGGACAAACTTCACTAATCGAGGTTTGATGGCAGCTCGTTTCCTGCAGATTCTGAATGTGCTGCCAGGAGCTGGATTTAGGCCTGACAGCAGGACTTCTGCGCCGGCCGAGTGACATTTTTCAACGTTTACGAGCTAAATAGGAGCTTTTTGAACAGACGTGAAACAGAACATGTTGGAATAAGTGTGAGCAGCCAACGGAAACATCCAGCCGGACTCTCTGCCAGCAGCCGTTCACGCTGATCGCCTCCATTTCCTCCTTCATGAGGTTTAATAATACGTTCAGGTCCAGGAAACAGAGCGAGGACGAGTATTCCAGAGGATTATTACTGCTGCTACTAATAAACGTCAATGAGAAGCTCAGAGGGGACACGTTTGTTTACATGAGAAAATATTGTGGATGGAAAAATACAAATTCCAGTAACTTAGAGGTTTGTTTGATCAGAACAAATAGGGAGACGTCTGGACCGAAGCCTTTAGAATAAAAGTGGTGCTTTTCAGAAATGTTAAGTCACCCCGAAACCCGTCACAAAGTTTAATTAGAAGGTCTTCTTTATTTTTAAAATATTTTTTCACCGTAGTGACGTTTGGCTTCACGTCTGTCTGAGCTGCAGTAACGGAGTGGAAAAAATAAAGCTTTTTTTTATTTTTTTTTTACAGTTTTTAAACTATTTTTTGGACAAGTTTGTGTTATTTTACACATTTGCCATGCTCTGTTAAATGTCTAATAAAATCTAATATATATATAGAGAGAGAGAGATTTACATGTTGACTGTAAAAAGAATAAAACAATTTTTAAAAATTGGGGTTTTTTTTTTGTTTTTTCAGAATGTTTTTTTTTTTTTCCAGTGTCTGGCCATAAAATTAAAACATTTTTGCTGTGTTTAAATCAGCAAAACCATATAAATATATTAAGGATTGAAACGTGTTAATCATTATTTAAGGGTTTTTTTTAACTAAGAAAAAAAAATTGAAATTTACATTAAAAAAAACAGGACAAATCTGTAAATAACATCTAAATCAAAAATGTGTATTTTTACAATTAGTAATTTGTTCTTTTACAGTGTTTTACCTTTAAATTATATATTTTTATTGTTGTTAGATCGGCTAAAAATATTATTTTACAGATATTTTCTGTTAACTTTACAATTCTTTAATGCTACTGTAATCCACTTTTTTTTCCTTGCAGACAGATTTTCACTTTTTTTCATAGTTTTGTTTCTACACTCACCTCTCAGCGTCGACAAATTCACATTAACTTCAAGCATCTACCAGTAACAGCATCTAAAATACACACCCCAGTGCATCTAAACTATGTTCTGCTGCACAGAAATGACACCAGAATCCCACAATGAGATGTACAAAGTCTGCATGCTGCCTGACGACACACACACAGCTCAGCATCACTCTCCTCATCAGAGCCTCCTTGTCTGTAGGAAACGCTGCTGACATGATGTGGAGGTGAATGAAGCTCTGTGCCGCCACGTGAAAACATTAATTAATGTGTTAATGCAGAGATCCGTGTGAACCAATCAGGAGACAGAACGTGTTGGACCAGCCGTTAAAACGAGATTATTCGCTGCTCTTCTCTCGTTATCTCAGTTTGAGGAAACTCCAAGAAGAAAAACAGATGATATGAAGGCAGCCCTGAGTCTCCAGTGACTCCTAGAACTCTACGTTTTCTGTCATAGAATCCTTGAAACACTCAAACCGCCGCCACAAAAACAAGATTCTGGTTCTTTCATAGATTTATTATAGATCTTCTGTAAATGTGACAAAATCTGCCAGGTCAAAAATACACATACAGCCATTTGAATTAAACAGTAAGTAGTTGTGGTGATTATTAATCCTCTCTTACCTTCTCGTGAGCGACTGACTACAGCTGCTGACTGATTTAAACAGAACCCATCTGATCCACTCACTGGACTGAAAACACAACAGCAGGAGGAGCTCAGCAAAGATCTGACGAAGCAAACTGTTACAACTAAAAACAAGTCAGAAAAGACATTTGAAACCATTTCAGAGCAGCTTCAGATCCCAGAATCATCAATTTAAAGTCCAGTCGTGTTGCTGCCACCATCAGGAAGAAACACAAACTGTCAGGACGGTCAAGAGTCAACCAGGAAGCAGCAGGAAGCAGCTCTGGATGGATCAGCTGTGGGTTTGACATCAACATGAGAGGTGGTTCTTCCTCCAGAACTTTAAAGCTCCACTGGTCACATGGACAAAGAAAAGGCCTTCTGGAGGAAAGTTCTGTGGTCAGATGGAGCAAACACTGAGTAGAAACATGTCTGGAGGAGAGAAGGTGAGACCTTCAACCCCAAGAACACTAAACCTGCCATCAGGCATGGAGGTGGCAGCATCATGCTGTTAATAGATTCTAAAGGAAGAAATCTAAAACCATCAGCAGAAGGTTGATGTTGGACACAGCTGGATGTTTCAACACCCAAAAAATGGTAAAAAGAAATGGCTTAAATCAATCAGGATGAAGGTTCTGAACTCGTCTGCCCAAAGTTAAACCATCAAGAACTCGTGATAAAGAAACTAGTCTGAGTCAGAAAGACAACAAGTTTAGTTGAATCCCGTCAGCAAGAGGGTCAAAGACATAAACAGAACCTCGTGGACCTAAAGCACCCAGTTGAGGGGAAAATGGCCAACAGACGTTAAACCAAATATTAAAACTGGTGTTTGTATATTTCTGAACCCTCAGATTTGATCATATTTTCAAAAGATCTATTAGAAATCTGAGAAAGAACCAAACTACACGATGGATTTTGTGGGTTTCAATGATTCCGTCGTAGAAAATGAATCACTGGAAACTTTACGAGGACGCTTTAGTTCAGCGACTCCACTAGAAGTTTCCATAACACAAACACACCGACGCACGCTGCTGCGCTGACTCGTCGCGTTGAGCCCGAACCCAGTTCTGTGCAGCGGGTCCAGGTGCAGAGTGTCGGGTGACCTGCTTCCTGTCTGTCAGGTGGAACCGCAGCAGCCACAATACGCTCAGTGTTGGAACAATTAGCAGCAGTGTTCCTGCGGCTGTAAACCTGGAGCCGTGAGCGTTCAGGAGGCCGGACGGCGGCCAGAACAAGCCTCCACTGTCTCCGTCCAGATACCTCCGACCGCCGCCGAAGGAAAACATTCAAACTCATCTCCTGAGCTTTGCCAAATGTGATGTTTGGCTGGAAAAGGTCCGGCGATGCTGCTGAAAGGCCCGTTGACACCCGACGGACCGGTTCGACAAACTTTGCTTTTCTGCAGCAGCTCATTAGCGGACGGGCCGATGACGACGACGACGACGTGTTTAACACACCTTCAGTCAGCCGTCAGCCCGACGACACACACACACACACACACACACACACACACTGCAGGCAAACAGAGCGGCTGCTGTTCTTCTACATTTTCACCCATTAAAAACAAATTAGCTGCATTTTAAATGAACACCTGACTGTTTACAGACCATCTCCTCGGTTTGCAGACAGGTTTTAACATTTTATGGAGCCACTGAGTTTAACTCATGCAAGAAAACGAGTCAACCTGCAGAGACGCCGAAACCTGCCTGGAAGGTTTTATGTCTAATTAAATCACCAAAATGACCCGATTTACCAAAATCTGAAACGATGAAAACTAAAAAATTTAACAAAGTTTCAGCTTTCCAACATTCCATGAATGCATCATCTGTGATACGTGGTTCTGTCAGACAAATTAACGTTTAAGCTTCAAATCACAATATTTTGTCAATATCGCATCCTAAAGTTGGCCAGAATGAACCCATTTTCATCAAATCCTGTAAATAAATAAAAGGATGCTGCTCAGGACAACTGGTTCACTGCAACCAACAGTCGTAGACGTTTGGAAAATAAAGTTTTTTTTCTTTTTTTTTTTTTATTTACTGTAAAAGCTAAAAAATTCACCAGAGTTTCAGCTTTCCAACAGCCTGTGAATGCATCATGTGGGATGTGCAGTTCAGTCAGAAAAATTAAGCTTAAAAACACACATTTAATCAACTAATAACGGTTTATGAGAAGTGAGAGCAGCTGTTAGCATCTAACTCCTGCTTGTTGTTCAGATTTGATCGTCTTTGTTTGGTTTACAGACAATTCTCTAATTATTCATTAATTTATTTATTTGGTTTTTGTTATTGTTGCCTTCATTTTGTTGTATTTATGCCTTTTAAATTCATTTTTGTCAAGTTTTTTAATCTAGTTTTTAGCATTTCATGATATTTTTATGCTTCATGCAAACGTCACGACTTAAAACCGTCACCCGGTTGTTTATTTGGATTAAACCGACTCTGACTTTAAGATCCAGATCAGGAAACACTCCAGCTTCTGACTGGAAGGTAAACAAAAAGAAATTCTGTTCAGAGGATTTGTAGAATCAAACTTTTCTCGGTGGAGCTACACTCAGAGTTTCAGCGGCTCTTAAGTCTCAGCCGTCCGAGTTTTCCTGAAGAACTTAAACGCACCATCAAGAACATTTTCCTGCATTAAAACTTAAAGAATCTAAAGCAACAGGATGATTCAGGAAGTTTAAATCTAAAAACCTACAAAATAATCCACAGGAACCTAAATGAACGGAGCAGAAAAACCTTGAATATACTGTTTTTTAAAACATCTTGTGTTCACTGTTTGTTTGTTTTACTGTAAATCTGTAGTTTGAAACAATAACATCACATTTATTGGTGCTTTTCTGTCCATAACGTTTCTGTTTTTAAACCTGACATCAGTGCACTTTGTGTGTTTCCACGTTTATCCGCCATATTTCTCCTCAGATCGTCTCCTGTAGAGGCTCCACTGAGCTCTGCTGTTTCAGGTTTCATGCTGTTTGCTCTCCGGCTGCAGCGCTGATGTTTGTCCAACACGTTACTGGATTACTGAGCTGTTTCTCACACTCTCTCTCCAGCAGCAGCTTCAATATTTGTGTGTTTGCGGTTTTTTAACCTCGACGTCCTCCAGAGAGGTTTAGAACCTCCAGAGACGGAGCCAGAACCGAACCTCCTGATTAACGTCCAAACAAACAGCGGCTCTGCCAGAAACAACTGAACAGCATCAGGCCGGTCCGAAGAAACCCAATAAATCCTACATGAACTGAACTTCTTCAACACTTTTTAATCACCTTTGTGGTTTCGTGTTCGCTTCGTTCTGTGTCTCACTGAAGAACAGAATCAGAACCAGACCTACAACCTGAACTACACTCTACAAAATTAATGTCTTCAAACAGTTTTTACATTAATTTTAGAGCAAATAAAGTATGAACAGCCATTATTTAGTTTTATTTCTACGCTGTTATATTATTACTTTACAGATATTTGTCCTTATATTTGTTATTCTCATGTGTGTTTTTGACACATTTGCTGCCAGTTTCACATTTTTAAAGGATTTTTAATAAAAATGTGGTAATTTTTAACTGTTGTTTTACAGCTTAACCCTGTTTTTATTCAATCACAGATAATAAATAGTAAAACCAAAGAAAATTAAAGTCTTATTGACATGTTAACTGTGAAAAACAGGTTAAACTGTAAAGTCATTTGTCCTTTTATGAAGTCTGACGGTCAAACTGAACATTTCACTGCCGCAATAAAATCTGATCAAAATATTTTCTTTGGTTTTTACAGTTTTTGAGTTTTATAGTGTTTTTATGTCTTTTAAAGTCTTTTCAAAGTTGTTTTGTTTTTTTTAACAGGACTTTTTCTGTAATTTAACAAACAGAAAATCTGCTGAAATACAACAAACTGTTCAAAACACACTGTTAGAAACGTTTTTGTTTCTTTTCAAGCAGCCTCAGATCTGATGAACCAGAATAAATGAAACAAACACAAACTGAATGAATCACCAACAAACGTCTTCGTCACTTTTCTCCTCCGTTCATGTCACAGTTTGTCCTCACAAACGCTCCTAAACAGCTGCAGACACACAAACAAACAAACAAACAAACAAACAAACAACCACCCCGGCTCCTCTAACGACTGACCTCCAGACGCTCGGTCCGTGTTCCGGTAACTTACCGGCTTCCTCTCGGTCCGAACCGACTCCGTCAGCAGGACCAGCAGCAGCGCGCGGCAGGTGAAGGTGAGCGCGAGCATCGTACCTGCCGCGGCGGTGCACGCGGCCGCGCGACGTTCACAGCGTTCCGACCGGCGCGGCGCGCGCGGAGCCAGACTGTAAACAAACAAACAAATAAACAAATAAACAAACGGAGCGTTACAGAGCCTCCGGACGGAGCTGCTCTCCCGGTGACACCGAGCCGCGCATGCTGGCTGCTGTCCGGTGGGCAGCACGGGCTCCCCGAACCAGCTCGTGCTGCACGCGCACACCAGCGGACAGCCCACTTCCGCTGAGCGCGAGACGAAAACCAGTAAAGAAATGCAGCTTTACATTATTACTATTATTATTATTATTATTATTATTATTATTATACATTAAGGCTGGAAAGTAACTAAAGTACATTTACTCCACTACTGTTCATATGAAGTTCTGGGACTTTATCAGCAGCTCAGATGATAAAACAGGCTTTAAAATCCTCCTCAGTATTCACAACATTTGCAAATAAATAAAAATAAAAAGCCTTTAAAAATACAACAACACATAGAAACAAATGAAATCAGTGTTTTTTTTCCAACAGATTTGTGAATCAGAACTCTGTCTCATCTCCAGTTTATCGTGTCTGGAGCCTCAGATTGATCTTCTGTCCCTGATTATAACTTATGTGTCAGTCAGAGGGACAGAAACAAGAGTTTAACTTCAATATTTTGACTTTATTTTGCTGTTAATGCTTATTTTATTGATTATAATTGTCAGTGCAGGACTTTTACTCGTAATAACGTATTTCTACTTTGCTGTATTTGTACTTTAAGACATCGCTGCCCTGCTGTTTAATCTACAGTAAACTCTGAGTTTTTCATACAATCTGGGTCTTTGTTGCAGCACATTGAGGTTTTGCAGGTTTTTCCTTAATGCACAACAAATCTTCTTACAGCCAAAGCAGCTTATTACAGTAAGAAGTAAAAGTTAAGAAAACAGAGCAGCAGTGTGTCGCTCCTCTGACACCCACTGGCCTACATGCTGAGCGCTCATGTTCAGCGACATGCAGCTGGAACATGAGCGTCAGGCTGCAGCAGGAAGCTGGGACAGCTGCCACCAACATCTGGACGCACACAATCAGCTGCACTGTTGTTTCCACTAAACGGCCTGAACTCAGTGTTTGTACAAGAAAACCTTCAGAGAGGGCGTCGTAGGGTTAACAACCAGGCACAAGCTGTATTTTATTCTAATAACTACATTTAAAAGAACCATTTTGGCCTCAAAATATAGCGTTGGCCCCCAATTGCCCCCCCTAAAAGTAAAACCTAGAATCACCACTGATTTTGGGGGGCACCCAATAACTGTGATATCTGTAGATGGAGCCTACAGCAGTTTCTCCAGAAGTGTTTTTTACTTGTACTCACATTGTATGACTGAATATAGACCTAACCTGATTAAATAGATCGAACAGCATCAACATGATGTGGAAAAGGTTTCTGGTCAGAACGTACTTGTACAACATGGAATGTACAATAACTGCTTCTTTCAAAAGCAGCTCGTGGTCCTCAGACTGATCACAGTGAAGCCTCATGTTAGTAACAGCCTGATGGCTCACGGTACGTTACCATGATACATACATGTAAACACACATGAACACAAAGCTCTCCTCTTTTACATTAACAATGTTGTGTCTGAGGAACGTCTGTCTGTCCTGCTCTGTGTGTCACCTGATGATGGACTACAGCTGCTGGACAGAACCGTCCCCCAGAACCTGTCTGGGTCACTGGTCTGAGCCTCACATGGCTTCTTCTTACCTCTATTCAGGACTTTTGGGCTCTTTTGGACCCCAGGCCATTTGGTTTAGGTGACAGGTGTTGTTTTTTGATTTTTAAAGATTTTATTTTTAAATATAAAAATAGGGACATTTGTAGCCAAAAATATGTCAACTTATCAGAAAATATATTGAACATTGTATAAAAGTTGGCACATATTCTTTCTTGGGGTCCAATGGACCTCCAGAGACCTTCTACGTATGGGAACATGAAGTCCTGAACAGGGTTCAGATAACGAACCCTGCTGGCTGCTGCTGGAACAGAGACTAAATGACACCATTCAGGTGGAGCTCAGTCTTGGGATCGGGAACATCTCTGTGTAAAGTGTCTTCATTTAACGTCAGCACATTTTCCTTGTTTCAAAAAAGAAGAAGAAAAAAAACACACCGTAGCAAGATCTGGTGTCATATAATCATTAATGCAGGAACCTCTTGACGGTTATTTACCATCTGGTTGGCCCGTTTCATCAGCTTCTCTGCCCAATAACATCAACTCTCTGTCATCAAAATGTTAAATGATGAACTAAAGACAAATCTACGAGTTAAGATAAAACATATCAGGAACTCGTTTGTGTTCAACTTGCTGCACATTTGAATTTGACCTTCATCATCTCAGAGTGTCTGTCAGTGCAGAGTGGACGTGAGAGAAAAGGTGTGCTTGTTTTATGTTCCAGCTGCTCCCGTCTCTACCACTATCACAATGCTCTGTTCACCCCGCCCCCATAAAGCTGCACTGTAACGACCAGCTAGCGCTCCTCAAAGAAACGACCCAATGACAAGCCAGTATTTCACCTGGGGGCCGAGAAGAGGCCAATCAGATTCCAGGAGGGGCCATGGCCCCTGTGGACAAAACAGGTGAGGGCAAACCGGCCTTATACAAGCCTCTCACAACCACCCCACTCAGTGGGGTCACATTCACATGTACTTTTTTTTAAAGTTGTTTTTTGGCCTTTCGTGCCTGTATTTGAAAGTGTAGTGAAGAGGGGCACAAGAATGGGACAAGGACCTGCAGCAAAGTGTTATGAGCCGGAATCGAACTCACAACCACTGTGTCGGGCACGTAGGCTCCTGTACATGGAGGCCAGCTCAACCAGGTGAGCCATCGCGGTGTCCCAGTACACTGTTTTACTACAAAGAATCCTTCTCAGTGCAACTCAGAGTTTGTTTGTTTTTTTTAACACATAACTTAATTGTTGTTGTTATTATTATTATTATTATTATTATTATTATTATTATACA